GGCTATGAATTAAAATGGGATTCTTGAAAGTGTTGTCTGTGATTGCCTGCACTTGAGTAGATTATGTTAGAATGCATGTGGATGTGCAAGGTGAGTCTCTGTGTTATGTATACGTGTTGGATAGTGTAGAGTACTCACCCTTACATTTATTTTTCAGGTGCTTAGATTTTATTTGAAATCATGATGTAACTGAATTAGTTCTGTAACAGTCATTGATATAAACTTGTAATCCCTTATTGTTTTGAAATGTTTGATGAAATTCTGTGATGGGAAATTATATTTAAATGAAAATTTTAATATTTCCATTTTTTCAAAATTTATTATTTGGAAATTAAAAATTAAGGTGTTACATTCTGGACTCTTAAGAATTTTAACTGATTGATAATCAATTTCACTTCTTTAACTAAAGCACAATTCTTTGTCTCACTGATCCTAATACCTAATTAAACTTCCCTAATTCCTTAGGTGAAATTTAATCAAATATTACATTAAGTTCTGAAAATTATAAGATTACTAGATCATGATACTTATTCCTAAGATCTCAAAAACCTAGGCATATGATTCAGATATGAGAAATAAACCCAATTTTCATTGATGAAGATTCCTCTAAGTTCAATTGAATGAAGGATTAGTTCACAACTGCATTAAGAACAGAATCATATACTCAATTCAATTAAAATCTCAAGATCCAAATCATCCATAGATCCCTAATCAAAAAGGTTTAGAAGAACATTACAATGAAAGAAGGGGAAGTAAGAGAAAAACATCTTCCAAGACCCAATCTTCACCCTGATTCCTCTAGCAATGAAGCTTGAAAGCTGCTCCCAATCTCTCTCTCTGACTTCCCTTGGAAGTTAAAATAGTTACAAAGTGAAAACTAACAAAAAATGAACAAAAGTCCCTAATCTAAACTCTTAACTTCTATATATATCCTTTTTTTTTCCACCTTTTTCACTTCTTCAATTTAATCTCTGAGAATTATAACATGAAAAGTCTTCTAGAAGCTTCTATAGCTGAGGTGGGAACTCAAATCGTCCAAAGTTGACGCTTTAAAAGTGATTTTCAAAATTTTGTTATTTTGTGTGGACACTTTCAGTAACCAGAATGTCCACGCACATGTGTTTTCAAAACTTTTGCCTTGCGCGTGTTCACTTTTAGTGGTCAGAGTGTTAACGTGCAGCTGTGCATGGCTACTCTCAGTGGCGCGAGTGTTAACACGCATGGTTCCTGGGCAAATTAGCCTTGGGCGTTATCACTCTCAGCAGTAAAAGTGTTAACGCGCAAGCCCTTCATGAATTCTATTGCTGGAGTGTTAACTTTCAGCACTTAGAGTTGCTACGCACTTGATCTTTATAAATTTTCTTCTTCAAAGTATTAACTCTATACACACAAAGTGGTTAAGCCTAATACATAACACTTGATTCTTGATCTTTTAAGCCCAATTCATCAACTTTCTTTACTTGAATATCAATTTCAAAGTCTCAGCTCTAGCTTCTGCACAAAAATTAATTATTTTTATGCCAATTTTCTCCAAGATTAAAATAAAATCCAAAATTCTAAACTAACTACACAATTAAGAATATTAATACAATTTTTATGGTATTTTCAAGTTTATTGGGTGCTTTACCACTTATTTATTAACAAAAACTATGCTAAAAATGTGATAAAATATGGAGTTATCAGTAGTGATGCCTTTTGGAGTTACCAATGCCCCAGCTATATTCATAAACTACATGAACCAGATCTTTAGGCCTTTTCTAGATCGGTTTGTGGTGGTCTTCATTGACGACATCCTCATTTATTCTAGTATGCCAGAAAATCATGTAGAACATTTGAGGATCGTTTTAGGGATTTTAAGAGAAAAATAGTTGTATACCAACTAACCAAGTGTGAATTCTGGCTTAAGGAGGTGAAGTTTCTTGGTCATGTGATCTTAGCCGAAGGGATTGCAATTGACCCTTCAAAGGTAGAGTCGGTATTACAATGAAAAAGGTCGAAGACAGTCATAGAAATTTGCAGTTTTGTGGGCTTGACAGGTTATTACCAAAAATTTATAGAATGATTTGCGAAGGTTACTTCTCCTTTGACACTGTAGACGCATAATTTTTTATCCAAAAATTTCATAGCTCACACATTTTAATCCATGTAATTTCATACTCATCTCAATGCACATAGTCATACTCAAATATATAGAATCATATAGGTTAAATAATTACAACACATATTAAAAGGAATTAAAAGCGTTAACACCGAGGAAAGAGAACTATCTGGAAATGGGTCTGACAATGGCTCCTCTCTCTCTCTCACACACACACACACAAGTGTTTGGCTTTTAATTTTAGTCCATTTTAGGCTTCTCTCACAAGTTTACACATGTTGCACTTTTGCCAAAGTCTAAAATGCCTTCCATCATGACTTTTGTACTTCCAACTGAATCATAACTCTCCTAGTTTCTTTTTAACTATTCCAATTACTTTTTGAAGCTAATCTAGTCTCAATCTAATATCCATAGTCACAGTTTCATTCGAGCTATTGGAAAACTAATTCCATCATTAGCAAAAAAATTTAATCACTAGCTAATCTCATAATCATTACCTTATTGACTTGGCTTGATTTGATTGGTTCTCATGGAATATGCTTGTCCAGATGAGATAAAGTCATATTTAAGCTTCTCTCTTAAGTATAATTAGGTGCACATAGGCTCTAATGGGTCACATGGCTTGTAGCCATAGTTTTGAGCCCATTTGCCTTTCTTTAACATGTGATTTTTAGGCTGTATTAGGGGAATTTTGAAAAAATTTCTTCTTCTTTTTTTGAGCTTCCTCTTTACACGTACAACACCTCTATATACGAGCTATCTACCATAAAAATATTAGATATTATCTCATTCATTTACTTGATCAAAATAGGCTTCCATTTCAAGTGCTTCTAGGGGTATTTTGGTCAAATTTTGTAATTATATTTATTTTCTAGATTTAACTCTTCCTAGACCTCATGTAATTCTTATAAAACTATTTTAGGTAGTCCAAAATTATTAATAGAAATTTTTGAATATTTATTTACTTCTTATATTATCCGATTCTCTACTAATCGATCCCATTTCGATTAATTTTGCTAAAGAAATTTTAATTATCAAGTTTCTATGTACAACTTATTGCTAATTTATTAAGATTAATGTAATCTAGTATTTATTTATAAAGTGATAAAAATTTGGAGTGTTAAACTACTCAATGAGTCAACTGTGGCGAAGTTACTAATGATTTTTTTATTTTATTTATTTTTCTTTTCAAAAATTTTTATTTTGGTGATTAAATTTTTTTCAATTTTAATTTTATGACATAAATAAATAGATAGATAAAAATAAATATAAAATGAGAAATAAAATAAGAGTAAGATAAAATTTGATATTCACAAATAACTTTGTAAATTAATATTTTCATCACAGAAATTGTTATACAAGTAAATTAGTAATTCATGACATTATATGGTGTAATTGTACAATTGACTATGTCAACATCATTTATAAGATACAGTATTAAATCTAATTTTAACTTGATTGAGGAAATTAAATAATTCTTACTATAGGTGATATTGACATATAACTTAATAATAGTTTTATTAAGTTGTTGTTGATGCACATTATTATACAATCAATGCATTTATTATCACATATATCCAAAATAGGGTATTATTTACCACTTGTATCAACCAAAAACCATAAAATTAAATCTAAAAATAATGCAATTATACTGAAAATTAAATTTTTTATAAATATTTCTTTTTTATGTTACTTATTCTTCATTCTATCTAAAGTATTATTATTTTTATTTATTTTTAAAGTCACGCCTACATTTTATTTAAAACTTCTACCATTAAACAATAATAATAATTTCACTCATTCTGCGTTTAAACAAATAAAAGGTATTTAGTCAATAAAACTTAATTGCAATTAATTTAACTAAAACAACAAACTCACTAAATACAATTTCATTAAATTAATTGCTCAATTGAAATTAATTTAACTAATTATATACAAATGTATTAATAAAGTATTAATTGTAATTCATTTAACTTAATTATATAATTATAATTTATTCAATACATTAAATCATAATTAAATAATATTAAATTAATTTACAATTTATTTAAACAACTAACTCAAACTAATACAAATTTAATATATAGATAAATTAATTAAAATTAATTTAACTAACTAATATAATTCAATTTTATTAAAAAAATTAACTCAATTTTAATATCAAAATTTAATTGTAATTAAATTAAATTTATTAATATAATATTACTTTAATTAATATTAATAATTGATTTATATTTATCTCACCAATATAAATTAATCAATTTCAATTAGCTAAACCAATACAACTACCTAATATAATACAAAATGCTTAAAAACTTCAAAATATTATATGTATGTGTCTTCAACCAAAAATAAATTGCGTTCAATCAATGTTATTTATATAAAAAAAAAAAAACTTTAGGATAAAAGAATGTATCTACATGCATTTATCTATTATGTAATGCTACATGTCAACACTTCTAAGAAGTCCCGCCACTATTTCTAATAAAACTCTAGTTTTGCTAGTAACATTAGCAAAACAAATTATTTTTATTAAGTTTCTCACTATTACTAGAAAATATTTTGTGCATAACACTTGTTACTGGAAGAGTTTCGTTAATAATAATGGCAAAACTCTAAAAAAAGTTTCGCCACTTTTAGTAACAAAACGGGTGATACCGTGTCCAAAAATACTTTAGATAGAGAAATTGTTTTGAAAAAATTATATATTAATAAAAAATTTATTAAAAGTAATATTAAAATAAAAAAGCCACATAATAAAACCCAATTCAGATCAATCCATTTAGGTTAACTAGTAATGGGTTGTTCCAAATATAATTCACCTTGCAGCTGACATGAATATAAAAAGTCTGTTGGTCATTTATCACGCTGGTTATCACCTGAAAAACCATTGTCATTTCACACTGGTTATCACCTGAAAAACCTCTTATCCATAGTCGTTGGTAAAGAATCAAGGTATGCATAAATTTGTGAAATACAACATATTCAACATATCCTGTAATAGTTCATATGCTATGTCAATGTTTGCTAATTAAATTACAGAACAGAGGGAATAAAACAAAGAAAAGGAAAAGAAGAAAACATATGGTTACGATGTACAACCATTAGATACAAGAATCACTCGATATTCATGGCATCCTATCTTTTTAACTACACAAACGTTCCCAAAACTCAATTCTGTTAAATCATGCAGGGGACTGAACCTTGATGGTTTTCAAATGCCTCTACCACGTGGTCCCCTAAACCATGAAATCTCATTTCTCATGGGTCCTGCAAGCTACAAGCTCAATGACCGGTTTTTCCTTTTGCTGAAAAGAATCTACTAAAACCTCGGGCATGTTTCTCTGGGGTCGAAGTAGAGGAAGCTGAGGAAGAGGTTGATTTCGTGGGCCTGTGGTTTGAATGCTGTACAGAAGATATGGCTGGAAAGTTTGACTCATTATCTGATGGACTGTATAAGCTGTTAGTAAAATGCAAGGGGGATTCTCCACCCAGTCTTTGCATAAAAGTAGAAGTAGCACTGTCCATCTCTGCCTGATCTTGCAAAGTTGGGCTATTGGTAGAAGGTTCACGCTCTGTGAAGCCTTCAACCTTTGAATACGGAGATGCCATTGCCTCTGTTTGAGGATGAAGAGCTTTTAACTGCTTGCCAAGAAGAAAGATGGTTTCCTGACACTCAGCTAGCTTTTCAGCAGCAGCTGCCAAGTCTCTTTCCTGTGATAAAGTTAAAAAAAAATCAAACAAAGATTTCAAGCCATTCACAAAGACTCCCCAGATTGAGATACGTACAAACAGATATTTTAACTACAACTAGATCCTAAAGCTTCCCAGCTTAATAGTTTTTTCATGTATCTGGCAATGCAAAATTTCCCAACTAGATACGTACAAATGAATGAATTTACAGCTTTACCTGCTTAGTCTTATCGTCATTAGCAGCCGAGCTCTCATTCCTAACAGACAGTTTAACAAAAGAAATTAGGAGTTAGAAAGAGAACCAGCACAAGTTTCACAAAAAAAAATTTAAAAAACAATTGTTAATGTTGGCAAGAAAATTAAATACATGCAATGCGATTATTAATCCTATATATTCTTGCTTAGACCACATAAATACAAATATCAATAGCGAGCAAGTAAAACTGCACTATGCAGAATATGCCTAACTTCAGTACTTAAAAATAACCAAGATATTGGATGGGTGTCTAACCTTTGTAGTTGTTCTTCTAGCTCCTTGTACTTGGCCAAAGCTGCTTCATGAGCCCTCTTTTCATCTGTAAGCTCATTTTCTAGAGTTTCTGTCTTTATTCGCAGATGATTAAGCTCAGTTTCAAACTCCTTAGCACGTGTTTCAAGTGACCTGTATGATTCCGCCATACATTTTAGTTGCGTCTCAGCCAAGCTGTTTGATCTTTCAGCAGAAGCTAATTGTGATTTAACTTCAGCTAGATGTTGCTCAATCTCTAGTAACTGAGACTTTGTGATTTCAAGATTTTCAGCACATTTTGACAGATCTGCTACTGCCTTCTCTTTCTCTAATTTCAATTCTTCAAAGTCCTCCATTGAGAACTTTTGTGATGTGGCATTTGATTCATAGTCTGAGGCCAAAGTTCCATCATCAGGAACCTCGGGATCAGAACAGTGATTAAGAATATGGGAATGGCCATTTTGATATCTCACTCCTGATGAATTGTCTTGAACTAACTTATTTTCGGGCAAAGCAATCTTATCTATGCAATCAGAACAGTTAGTTTCAGCTTCCATACTCTTATAACCAAGGATATTAAATCTGAATTCATTTGCTTTAGCAAGAACATAAGACAGGTCAAGAACAAACTGTAGCAAACTTGCTTTATTGCCTATAACCTTATTAAAGGTGACAGAGAACTCCTTCATCTTTTGGTTTATTCCATCTCCATCAGAAGATATATCATGAGCTGCCATTGCTTCTTTGCCTAGGAACAATACAAAGTCATGAATCTGAGAAATTGCAGCTTCTAAATCTGAAGTCATCTGCACATATTCTGTAGGTTGCTGGGATGAAAAAAGTTCTTTTTCTGCATTTAAGCCAGCATCTTCAGCATTACCCTTGTTATCACTTATAGTATCCAAAGGCTTGACATCATGGGGAATGGATGACGCAGAGTCCTGGATGGAAGTGTCACACACATCCTCCAGAACATGTTTAATATCCTCCAGGATCTTTCCTATATTAGCATCCTTTGCCATGGACTCAAAAACTGATAATATCCTTGATCGGAGCTCTGCTAATGATAAGCCACTAATATCAGACTGCGAATCAGGTGCTGAAAATTCTGCAGCAGAAGACACCTGACTTGGCAATGGATTTGTATCACTATTCTTTTCAGAGTTAGAGGGATCATCTTTGCCAGGATTCAGTTCTGATACATCATTGGTCACAATTTCATTTGTTGTATTGTTTGAGGTAACTGAAACTTCATTGGAATCATTTGACAATCGAGCCAACTTCTCCACCTCCAAAAAGTCATCCATTAGTTCCAACTTCTTAGTGGCATCAGATTTGCTCAATTCCTCAGCGTTCTTTTCTTTAGGGTATTGGAATAGCTCAGAAACTATTGCTGTAGACCAAGACTCGGCACAACTTCTGGCATCATCATTTCCATCTTCAGACATGGAGATCAAGCTTGGTGCATAGCTTGCATTTTGACTGTAAATGCTTTCGTGGTTTATATTGATGATGGACTTCGGCGATCCCTTCTGCTGATTACTTGTCTGAACCTGTGCTTCCAAAATTTGAAGTTTGCTCAGTGTTTTAGCACACATGCTCCTCGAAGCCTGCAATTCACTGTTACGTTTTGCCAAAGCTTCTTTCAACATCTTTGTTTCTTCTTCCATTGCCAACAAACGCTCCGTAAGAAATTCATTATCTTTCTGGAATTTCTGCAAATTTTCTAGGGTGAACTCAGGCAATGAAGACAGATGAGAACCAGCAGGTTTCACAGGAGACTTCCTTAATCGAGTTTCTCCATAATCTCGGCCAAGATTTTCAACTTCTAGCTTCATTTGTGCAAGTGCAGCAGGACCAGGTAGCTTTTTCCGTACTAGGCCACGTAATCTTTGGCACTCTGCCTCCAATTTAGCAATTTTTTTAACACCCTCCATATGCTGCTTGTTAGCAGCTTCTGCAGATCTCATACTCATGTTCTTTTCCTCATTACGAATCTCAAGCTCTTTGGAAATAACATGAAGCTCATATTTTAGTGAATTGATTTCTCTTTCACATGATTCTATGTTGCCCTTAAGAAGCTCAATTTCAGCCTCAGCATGAGCTTTTTCTTCACTTAATTTGATTAGCATGTTAGAGCGCTCTTGCAAAGACCTTGACAGAGCTGCATTCTCAGCAGCAGACCTGAGAAGTTCCTGTTCAAAGTTCACTATCTTAGCCTCATACTCACCCTTAATCTTGTCCAATTGCTTGGTCTTTGTGAGAGCAACTTCCTGTATTTTCTGTTCATGTTCTTCCTTCAGGTTTCTTATCTGTCGCATGCACTCTTTAAGAGCACCATCTAACTGTGATGCTTGGTCCTCAGCAGTGAGTTTTGAAAGAGTGACAGATTCTAGATGGTTCTTCAACGCCAGAGCTTCTGCTTCCGCCTTTTCCCAGCCTGCAGAGTTTCAATAGAACTTAAATTCCAAGAACAATAAGCACTTTACAATAAGGAAGACTTTTGAGCTTTGAACATCTTTAAGGAAATAGGAACCATTAAAGCAGTATACCTGAGACAGCCTCTTCAGCTACTTTAGCATGTTGTTTTACCAAGCTTTCCTTGGTATTTATCTCGGAATTTGCGGCTGACAGTTTTTCATTTAATTCCTTTATCTCATCCTCCAGTGTCTGAACTTTTTCTTCATATGCTTTCACTTGATCCTCCAGACCAGTCAGATGTGAATATGACTCCACAGAGATTTGGACGTAGCTCGGCTTCTTGTGAACAAAAAAAAAATATATATGATCTTATCCCTCGTGTAAAGCATGCAAAAGATTAAAGACAAATAATTGTTAGTTTAAAATTATCATTTAGTCTCTCAAGATTATAACCGCGGGACACTTTAACCCTTCCATTAGTTTAAATTAACATTTTCAAAGACTAATTTGGGTCATTAATAATTTTGAAGAACTAAATAGATCAAAGTGTACATCTTTTTTTTTTCCTTTCGGGGACCCATTTGGACATCTACTCTTGTTAATACTTAATTGTCAACAAAACTAAGCAGCAGTACTTAGAAGCCAAATAAATAGAAGTCAAGAAGGTGAGAAAATTTTTTATTTACATGAAAAATTCCCCGACCAAAAACAAGCTTTTTATTCGCTTTAGTGAAACGACAATAAATGCACACCTGATTTCCCTGAGCTGAAGCACTAGCAGAGTCCAATTCAGCAGCTGCTTTCTCAAGCACAGCCTTGTCAGATGATTTTTTCTTCCACGGCCAGCGTCGTTCCATTGCACAGTACAAAGACCCTGTAAAAACATAATAAAAAATAGTTAAAACTATAAAAAAAAAGGTTACATTTTTTTTTCACCATTTGACACTGCTAAATTTCCCATACATACTATTATTACACAACAAATTGGTAATTCAATGTGAATACTCAACTCTCCCACCGTTTCACAAAAGACCATCATCGTGTTACAGTCACAGAAGTGGTTTCCGTTTTCAACACTACTCTATGCACTCGTCGGCAACTGTCGGTGGTGATAGAAAAAGCACACAAGACTCACACCAAAGGCAAACAGTGTAACAGAGCAGTGACAATTTGTCGATTGCTCATAATTTGGCAACTATTTCGGGACCCTGATTGACTCCTATTACTATATTTGTGTCAATGCATTCACTCAAACAGTGAGGAACAGTAGCAAATATAAACCAATGATGCTAACCACGATCTCCGAGATCTAACAATTGCACTTCCCTTATTCACATTCCACCATATCATATAACCGTACAAACAAAATAATATGAAAAAATAAATCTCTCTTGAAAAAAATAAAATAAAATCAAGGATAATTTAAAACAAATAAATAAAAGAGCCTTAATAATGAATATTAATTAGATCCAAATTAATCAAAGACGTTTCAAAATTTTCAAAAATGGAAAATATATAATGTTTTTGTAAATTAATCTGAGAGGGGAAAAAATTGCATCAACATTTCGCTACATGATTGAACACTTTCTAGTTTAGAAACTAGGAAGATGCATAGTCGCACCAATTGGATTGGAAGCGTTCTGAACACAACCTCGAGTCACCGACCAAAAAAAGTGCCACAATGACGAGTAATCGAAACAAAACTAAGCAAACAGAAGTCGTATTCTTCACACAGAAGACAGTAGGAATGATCAGTGGAGGGAAATTTTGAAAAAATAAATTGATAAAAAACGACGAAGCTAGCCACAGCATTCACCGATTGAGTGTGAAGAGAAGAAGAAAAACCAAGGAGGGTAAAATCGACTTACCGGGAAAAAATGCGAGTAGCTGGTGGCGAAACCACCGAATGCGGGATTCCGATAAGGATTTTCACAGTTATCGGAGAATGAGAGAACGAAAGTGAAGGTGGTAGTGGGGGTGGCGGAGGTGGTGGTGGTGGTGGTGGTGGTTAGGCTAAGATATTCGGAATTAGGTGCCTCTTAAAAAGCAAGAAGTTGCAGAAGCTCCAAAAACCATCACCTTTTCACACCTGTGTGTTTTTCTTCGGACTCAATAAATAATAAATAAATAATAATCAATATACTCCGCTGTTACATTTTAATGTGCGTACAAAAATAATAATTAGTCTTTATTTAACCTGGCGGAATGACGTAAATAGCCTCGTGGATGCTTGGGAGAGAAGGAGGAGTATGGTGGGGCTGAGCTGTATCCGATAATGGGAAGGGAAAGGCATTATTTATTATTCTTTCGCTTTTCATAAATAATGAATGGGTTTAAATTAAAAGGAAATGGAAAATGGAATTAATTATGAGAGAAGCGTGATTAGGAAGAGTTTGGACCACCGTCACTCACTGGCATTCTACTATATACAGCTCACAAATTTGGTACCTAGCTCTCTCCCAAGACGTATGAGTTGGCGGCTTTCTAAATGCGTTAGTGTTACCACTCCTTGACATGACATCAACGTGTTGTAGCAAAATCCACCCCTTTACTCTCCTTCTATCATGCCATTTTTGTAAGGTTAAACGGGTGTCACACGGTCAAGCACGACCCAGAGTTTAACATTCCAGTAGATTCAAGACATTTTTTTCTAGTTTTACACACATTAGAGGATGCTACTTCTTAATGTGTGTGAGCCGTATGCACTTTTGAATTTTGGTTAAACTACAATGATGCTAAGTATATTTCATTTTCAGTCACGTCACCTTATCTTTACATAAAATAGCTAAATCAAAACGAGAGCACGCACAAAATGACGTAAAACTAGCTGTACTCGGATAATATGAAATGTTTGTGTAGTGTGTGGGTTTTTATTTATTATTATTAAAATAAAGTTTGACCTTGACGTAAATATATTGTTTCTGTACTTTTTTCTCTTGTAACACATGCAACAAATTTCTACTCAAATTGTATTTTATATTGCTTCTTATTCAAGTTAGACACAAAAGTTTCTGAAAAATCAACTCACTCCAACCCTATTTAGTTGGTTCGGATCAACATTTTCCAAACATAACGTAGACCATCTAATTTTTTGCATATTAAATAAATTCTTAATGTGAAATTGACGATTAAATAATTTTAATCTTATATTTAAACACTAAAATTAGGTGTCAATTTAAAATTTTAATGCTATTTCTCAATTCTTCACATAATCTAAACATAAAATTTATAATTGTAATTAAGTTAACTCCATTTTGATAAAATTAAAATTTCAAACTATAATTTTAATTTAGTCATCCAAAGATATCCTAAATGTTTAAAAAAATTTATAAGGAGTTTAAATTTTGAATTAATTTTTTATATATGGTATTTAAAAATAATATATACAAAAATATGATATTTAAAAGAATTACAAAAATATGAGATTTAAAAAATTATCATTAAGAATTTTTTTTGTGTAAATACAAAAATTCAGAGATAAAAAATAAAAAATTATAAAGTATCAAAGTTGTCAATAATAATTTTAAAATAATATAAAATATTTTAAATATACTAAAAGTCGCCCTTAATAATTTTAAAAAAATTGTTCTTATCATTTGATTAAAAACTCATATTTTGTAATTTTAAAATAAAAAATTCATAAAAAAGCTCAAATTTCATGAACATTGAATTTGATTTCAAAATGTGTATATAAAAATTGTTAAAAGAATTATACCGTTGATTTCGAACAATAATATCTTTAGAGATTAACTTTTCGTAAGAGTATCATAGAGTAATGAAAATGCATTCAGGTGGTATATGTTTATTTTTTAAAGTAAATTTTATAGTTCAAATTTTACACATATTTAAAAAAAAAAACTAGATTTTATTACGCTTGATTTTTTTTGTGGAGAGTACGTGGCCACAAAAATAAAAAGACTCTGAAAAAATAGACAATCCTACATTTCGTAGACCCACCCTCATTTATAATTTTATTTATCGACAAAAATACTGGGGTTGTGGCTAATCTCGTGAATTTTTAGTGATATTAGGACTTTTGTGGATACTTGTCATTTATCATCCACAATATCAATTAGCAAGTTTTTGTTTTCGGAAGTCGGAATGAAAATCAATTAGCAACGTTAAAACAGGTGAATCCAGTTTTTTATTACTTAGTATTTAAGAATGTGTTCATATGTCTCAATAACTCAAAAATTGAAATATATCTTTAGCTAACATTTGCAAAAGTTAATTTATTTATCTAAACATATCAATATGTAAAGCTGAATACGGCTTTAAAATTGTTGGTAAGACAACTAATCTACGAAACTAAACAGAATTAAAATAAAATAAAATGTTGGTTTGCTCTTATTTGACTTGGGTTAGGTTAAAACTGACTAATCAAGTGAATATCTATTCTTGACTATCATATAAACACAAAGTTTACCCAGCAACAAAGCAACACAAATTTGACATTTTCTTACGCAAGCATATATACAGCAAGAAAAATTCATTGAAAACCCCCAACGTAAAATAAACAGCAACACTGTATTTTATTTTATTTTTAAATATTGAATGGAAAATAATGAACTTAATTTGTCTGCTTTAAAGACTTACATCACAAGCGATCTGTTATTTGTCACAAAATTTTTTGCACCAAAAAATTGAGGACAAACATATAACCAATCAAATTGCAATTGGTAAAAGTTCAAGGGTGAGTGATTTAAAAAAAAAATCGTCATTGTATACATTATCCGGGCAAATAACGTTATAATTCGCTAACTACTCTTTCATTTTTATTACTTATCCATATATTTTTTAACAACTACAATTTAATTTATTGAATGTCTTTCATCGTTGTTATATGAAGAGTTTTTCATATAGAAGTTATCATTTAACTGAATTGCATTGATCTTACATGATTAGTAAAAATAAACTTTTTATTGGGCTAGTGAAATTGAATTTAACGTTGTGATTACACATATGCTTATATAATATTATTGGGTTTCAAGAAATGAGCAGGTTCAATTAAGCTCGCAAATATTTAAGAGCTTGGTATTACGTAGGAGTACAACATTATCTATACTAAAGTTGTATTATATGTATCTATCATCCAAAGTCCACCTCCCAAGTCTAAGTTGTAATTGAAAACGAGGCTTCACCAAATGACATAAGTTTTATTCATTAAAATAATGTTATAACGGTCTTGTGTCAAAAAAAAAAACCAATATTGATATATATTTTGCAGTAAGTCATGTAAATAAGTAGCTTGGTGGTCCAATGGCAAGCGTCTTAGGTGGCAAACATTTTTTTTAATTGCATTTTATTGATTAAGGGCAATTAACAAATAATTTGCAATATTCCAGCCATAAATTTTTTATTAAATAATTTTGATGTGTACATAGTATGACAATCTAATATCTATAGTTTAGGTAAGCATTATAATGTATCTTTGTTCATGTTAAAATATTCTATGCCTTTATTTTTCAAAAAAAATTTAGTTCCTTTTTTTTTTCCCTTTTATTTTGGTCTTTCATTAGGTACATTCTCAAAATTTTAATTGTAAAACTAATCCTTCCGGTCAACAGTGGTAATTAAAGTAAACATTCATTAATATGATCGATGATAATAAATTTAGAATTCCTGATGTTTTGGGGAAATTTTATCTAAGAACATAGTTCATTTATATTATAATAATCATTGCTAAGTGTACACAGGACCAGTCCAATCCTATCACGACACTTTTTTGTGCTGACAAAAAATAGTTTCCATTTTCCAATACTACCATACAACATGATATTTCAAAACTGTCCAAAACGTCTGTGTTATCAGGAGTTTGAGATTAGGTCTAACAAACTTACATAGGAGAAACGGCATATTATGGGTTGCAAATATAAATTTAATTTTTCGATTGTATTATATTTTGTTAACCTAATATCATCTGTTTCTAATGACTTTTCTCCCCGACGAATACCAATAACTAAGCCAATCGCTTTCTTGAATAAACTGTTTGACAAAGACTAAAAAATAATATTTTTATTGAGTGGCCCCAGAAGAACAAATGATAAATAGCCTTGGGAACAAGATGCTGCTTGAATGAATGAGAAAGCGATTTTGAGTATTGTTTACTGCTTAGAGCAATTTTTTATACGCATGTTAAATTGGGGTGTGTTGGTTTCCAGTACAAAGGGGCATCCCCGTCCATATATTTCCTCTGCAAAATCTATATACAATTATGCTACGAGACTTTCCAAGAGCAGCCAGACAATCCACATTGAAACCTTACCTCTTTCTTTGGATTCTACACTTTTGTGACCTAAAGATACCGTATGTTGGAAAGTGAAAAAGTATGGGTTACGTGTCCAAATTAATTAAAACAAAAGTATTGATTCAGCTCAAAAAAGGGGGAAAAAACACAAATATATATTAAAAAATATACATTTAATAAATAAAGAACTCTTAATTTTAAACCAATGATGAATTCTTAAGGTAGACTGGATATTTTTAATTGTACACATAACAAAATTAGGAATTGGTGTCAAGTTCATGTGTAAAATTAGTTTAATATAAATGCATAAGAATTTGAAATACAAATTTACTTTACGAAGAAAATTTGAAATAAACTTTGAATTTAAATTATTTAGGAAAAAAACCTTGATTAACGATGAAGGTATTGCCAAACCTTCAAAGTCACTGTTTAAGTCATGAAATAAATATTTTATTGCACCAGACAAGTTGATTTTCTATAAATTCTCATATATAATAAGTATAACTCAACCGTTAATCCTATATTTGTTCTTTTAGCAGTGAATTCATCACAAACTCTTAATAGGTTATGCAGTGTTAGTAAATTTTTAACGTGTAATATTTCAGCTCAATTTTTGTCGGCCTACAATGAATTAGCTTAATCAAAATTAACACTACATAAAAAAAAGGGATATATTCAAATCAAAATGATAAAATTATCAAATCCATGAATGCTACAACAAAGAAACAAACAATATGATACAGTTGTAAACAAATACGTTGTTTTTAAACATTTAAAATTACTCACATACTATAAGTAAATGATTTTAGATAAATTCTTGAAAGAACGAAAACAGAGCCAACACTTACAAGAAAGTTAGAATGAGTTGAGATAAATACTTGAGAGAAACG